TTTCAGGTGTACACCACTTAAAATTACATGAAATATTTGAAAATTATGAGAATTATGAAAGCTTCAAGTGCCCAGGTTTTGTTTAAAATGTATTCTATGTTAATATGCCTTTAATGTTTTCATGCGTTAATGTGCTTTAATATGTTAATATGTTTTAAATGTTTCCTGTTATTATGCATTTTATAAAGATTCATTTTCATGTTAATAAACTGCATCAAAACAATCAGATGCATATAAAATTATCTAAAAAATAAATGTGAAAGTATAAAAGTTATTATCAAAATATTAAGAACATTTGAGCATACATAAATGGTTTTTATTTTTTAAATTTTTATCTTTTTCTTTATTTTTATACCAGTTTGTTTTCCAGAGAAATTGAGCAGAAAGTACAGATAGTTCCCATACCCTCCCCAACAAACACAGTTTCTCCTATTACTGACATGTTCCATCAGTGTGGTACATTGTGACAATTATGAATATTGATATATTATTGTTAATTTTATATTAGGGCTCTTTCTTTGTATTGTACAGTTCTGTGGGTTTTGCTTAATGCATAATGACATGTATTCACCATTACAGGATCATACAGAATAGTTCTGCTGCCCTAAAAATCCTCTGCGCTCCACCTACTCATCCCTCCCTCCCTCATCCTTATCATATCCATTTCTAAATAAAACAATTGATGTATGTGTTCTCAATATACATGCTTTGCCAATCAAATTGTTTTAAATGTTTCAAATGAATTAGCTATTTTAAAGCAAGTCATGTTCTTTTTTTCCAGGTTAATAATAAAGACTGGCTTTTGATGCAATTTTTGCTTAATGACACATATGGTAAATTTATTACTTATAAAACCAGTATATGCGTTGGCCTTAATAATTCCATAAAAATCACAAACCTGATTCTGTAAACCATGATGAGGTAGAATTTGGATTGACAGTCTCAAATCGAACCACCTGGTTGAAGTCTCTCCCTCTACTGACACCAACACAAACTAAAGGGTACTCCTGTTCAGGAACTACCAGCATTTCAAACATTCTAAGTGGACATGGTATAGGAAAATCTATGTGCTAGAGAAAGAAACAAAAATACATTAAACAAAGGAAGACAAAAGCCAAATAATTTTATGAGAATACTATTAAGAATTTTTAGTCTTATAAAAATATATAAAATAGCTTTCTCCTATAAAGATTGCTTCTTGTCATAGAAGCTCAGGGTATACAGAAAAATCTACATTATGAAGTATCTTTATAAAGACTTTAGTTTACCACTTAAAAAAATTTTAAAGTTAAAAATCACATAATTTTCAGATGTTAGGCTAGAAGGAAACTTGTAAGGCACCTATTGAACCTTCTCTTTTCAGAGTTGTGAATGAGGCCCAGGAATTGGGTGACTGGTTCAGGGTACCCCAGGCCTTTGTGGCAGTGTCCTGTCTCCCAATTTCATGCTTCCTCAATTATACTCCTCTGCCTTCTTAACCAACTGAGCAAACATGGATGAGAGAAGCTAATTATCAAGAAACACTTCTCTTATATGTGTGGAGAAGAAGCTACAACCATTCTGTATGTGATAAAGCAGGTCAACCAGAGAATATATTCAAAACAATGTTTCACTGATCCTTTAGCATATCCTGTTTTTTGACATCAGGCTGTGTATGTGAGATACTCTATTTCCAGCTCCCTATTGCCATACCCCTGAACTATTTCTCCAGTCTCTTTCAAAACATTTTTTAGGCCAATTGAGTTCCTTATAATTGGGCAGATTTTCACAACTCTGCCACATAATCCAAAATCATTAAATTAACTTGAGAATCAACTGAAAAAATGTTTTTTTAAAAGAACAGAAAAGTTGACAATTAATCTTTTATTTATTTATTTATTTATTTATTGACAATTAAGCTTTTAAGCCAAGAATGTCATAGGTTAACTTTCATGCTTACCTTAATTAACATAAATTTCTGCATTGGTTCAACCCATTCTAACAGAACAATGCTAGTCTGAAGTGCCCCGCATAGGTATTTATGGCCTGTATAAGGATTTCTCACTGTCAAGGCAAAAAAGTAAACATGAGCACTCTTATAATACAAAGTCTTTAGAATTATAGTTGCATGCTCTTAAAAAAAAAAAAAATCAAATCTGGCTGCCAGTTCAATCTCTTAGTTAGAAAGCAGTGCAAAAAAAAGAAATACTGTTTTAGGTAACAGCAGGAAATGCCCTTATGACTTGCAGGATTTTTATTTGTATGCACGAATGAAACTGCTGCTTGTTATGGGATTAGAGGGCAGGAAGAAAAACTCATGGTAGCTGGGAAATAAGCTGAGGTAGCAACATCCCGAAGAAAGGGTCAAAGTCAATTTGGGGAGAAGCTGTCAAATTGATATGATACAACAAATTCAGGTGACTTACAGGCTGCTTTTGGTAATAATGTTCGGAGGTAGTAATAAGCTTTTGTTCTAAAAATAAAATTTGTCCATCTATCCCCTTTCATTAAACTCTTACGGTCACTAGAAAACCTTATAGACATTTAATCAAATCTTAAAATACAAGTTTAATTTTCTTTTGGCTAAGAAATATATTTTATATATATGAAGTAAATATATTTGAAATAAAGATAGAAAAATTAAACTGTAAAAAGGGCAAAAGCAGTAAAATCCGTAAACTTCACATAGATTTGAAATATTTAAATGGCAGAGAGGAGGTGAACAGCAAAATTACCTAAAGAAAACATAAAAGTCTATACAGGAAATTGAGTGATTAGAAAAATCTAGCTCCTCTCTTCCCCTGTAGAGGCAAGTCAGTTTGCTGGATGTTCTAACAGTGACTCAAACCACCATGTTTAAACCCAATCTTGTCACCCCCCTTTGCTCCAAACCAGCTGCTCTTCTTGCTTCCTGTCGACAATACTGCCATTCTGCCAGTCTTCTGGGTTCAAGGCCTCAGTCATCTCCAACATCCTTTCCCTTCACAGCAGATAATCCTTCCTTTCTGTTTCTACTGCTACTGCCCTAGCTCAGGACCCTCTCCCTTACTGTACAATGAATAAAATTCATGTTCACAGGAGGCACAGCTCACGTTCTATCTCCAATCTAACTGCTCACATTAATCTACCATTCTTCTCTTTACAACTTGTATCCAGCTAAACTGGAACATTAAGTATTTATTATGTAAGCTTTATGATTTTTTGCTTCCACATGTTTGTTATGTCATGTCCTTTGTTTGAAATGCCTCTCCAACTATTCAGAGTTAAAATCTGCCTTCTTTTGAGGGCTAGCCCAAATCCTATCTTCTTCAGTAAGCCTACATTTAGAGTCCTTTCCACACTATACCATGTGGTGTAGTGACTTATGTGCTTGCTCATCTTTCCTTTTATAATACTAGTAACTTAATGGAAGGAAACCAGTTTTCATTTTTGCAATAAGCAAATAGAACAACTAGTTGTTAGGTGGGTGGGGGAGAAGTTTAGGTTAGGTGTATGTGAACAGTGAGACTCTAACCTCACATCATGAGACAAGGTTTCACATATTAAATGAAAATATGAATACATGCTGAATGAATGAATGCGATTTCACACTCCATTCTTAAGCAGAATGGTGAACAATAAGTAACAAGCTCCTTGGAGTATGATAAGTGCTGTAATAAAAGTCATCCCATTTTCTGCATTTATCCAGTCAATAAATTATCTGCTAAATACCTGTTATGTGTAAGGAACTGTATTAAGGCTTAAACTACACAAGGATGGAACAGCCAAGAAATGTGTTTTACTTAAGGGGGAAAATAAACTATTATGGGCAGAATGCCCTGGGATAGTACTGTTTTGTATTAGATTTAAAATGAGCCTCATGGGGTTTTCCTAGCCATTCTGCAAAATAGGGTAGCTACATGTTATCAAGACAGTTTACTTACCAACACAACACTTCTGACAGCACTTGGTTTCAGGGATTTTTGCTGATACAGCAAATTTCCTAAATGTAAATGAAAATGAGTATATGATACATATAAGTGAGCATATAATACATGTAGGCAAACTTAGTATATGAAAACGGTGCTACTACAGATCAGTGAAAAGAGGATGAGTTAGGGCTGCTGGCTGGTTAGCTTGGTTGGTTAGAGTTTGGTGTTATAACACAAAGGTCAAAAGTTTGGATTGCCATATGGGCAAGCCACCAAAAAAAAAAAAAGTTTTTGTTATCTATTAAAACTGACATACAGGTCATCTATTAAAAATAAGAATAAACTGGATCCCTTTCTCATGCCTTCCAATCAATTCCAAATGGGAAAACCCTATAAAATATTTAGAAGATATTTATAAATATTTAGAAGATATGACCTTGGGAATTCTTTTAAGAAATGCAAAATGGACAAATCATACAGGAAAATACTGGTAAGCTTTAATTGACCTTTTTTCCACTGATGTAGCCCTAGCAACTTACACTGCAGGTGGCATTCAATTTGTTGTATCAGTAAGCTTGGCGCACTCGGGAAAGTGCGGCGCTGGGAGCGCAGCAGCGCTCCCACCGCGGGTTCGGATCCTATATAGGGATGGCTGCTGGTGCGCTCACTGGCTGAGTGCGGTGCAGCCGGTCTCAAAAAGGACAAAAAAGGGCCGGCCCAGTGGCGCACTCTGTAGAGTGCGGCGCTTGGGAGTGTAGCGGTGCTCCCGCCAAGGGTTCGGATCCCATATAGAGACCAGTCCGCTCACTGGTTGAGCGCGGTGTGGGCGCGACACTCTCCCGAGTGTGTCACGGGATCGGCAGAGTTGTACAATTTTATGTAAAAATAGCTTGTGTGATGCTCAATATAATTCTACACAGGCTCAGAAAAATCTTCTTGATGGGTGTTCTTGTTGGCAACATCGGCAACTGAGTAATAACCAACCACAAATAATATCGTGGTATTGTAATTTTAACCTTCATTATGTTTTATATGTTGACCCTGTATTTATGAAAACCTATAATCTTTACACCTAACATTTACTAAGTCCTTACTATGTGCCATGCATTTTACATGTTCTGTGTTATTTAGTTTTCTCCAACAATACTATGAGGTAGGTGATAGCATGGAAATCTGAGGCTTAGATTTTTGCTCAATGTTTTGAATTTAGCAATTTAGGGAGAAAAAAACCCTATTCTAGTATCAGTTTATTTGACTCCAATGTTCATAGTGATTCAACTGCAAAAAAAAATCTACTACTCATTTATGTTTCTGGGTCAATTTAAATGAAGAGTGTTCTAAGTTTGCAAGGTAAGCTGTTAAAGACTCCATTTGTAAGTATCTGTGTGAATTAACATTTTCTTGGTATCTCAACAGTAATGCAGAAATCATTCAGGTGCTGAGGCACTGAATAACTACAATGGTAATCTTGAACATTCTGATTTCAAATTTTTGATTACAACACCTCACTGTTCCCCTTGACTAACTCTATGTTAAGAAAAGTTTCACATTTCAATTTATAAATTAGATTTATAATATAAAAACGTCCCTTTCATATATACTGGAGTTCCATGTAGCTTAAAACAAAACAAAAATTCTCCACATCCTTCACCAAAGTACTGCTTTGAACCAAAGTATTTCCTAGAGTTAAGCTCCTGACAGATATCCATTGGAAACAAATTTAATGTTTCTGATCCACTCTTGTGAACTTGTCCCCTGGCTCCCAAAGCTAACTTAGGTCAACTGCTCAAAACCCAGGACGATTAACTGACTGCCAGGTTCTGAGACCCTAAGGAAGACTACTACATGGGCAAGAAAAGTCAACTATTATATATGGCTTGGAATTAACAATGAAAAACTACTCAAAATAGAGTTGTGGGCAGTGTACTGAAACGTTATAAAAATTTAATGTTCTATTTAGTGATCTACAGACTTGCCTTAATTTTAGTCATAGTTTCACAAAAGGCAATAAAGTTGATTTTACCAGCACCCTATTTACTGGAATCCTGTTAATGTTCTATTTAGTGATCTACAGACTTGCCTTAATTTTAAGTCATAGTTTCACAAAAGGCAATAAAGTTGATTTTACCAGCACCCTATTTACTGGAATCCTAAGTTAACCAACACTCTTAATGTATTTAATGTAGGATATTTTAGGGTATACTACAGGCACAGTTCAATTTACCATGACTGATAATGACGGCAATAGGTCTGTTTATAGAGAGCCTACTAGGTTCCAGAAACCACGGTATGGAAACTTTACATATAGAATTGATCATTTTCAAAACAATTCTGCAAGATGAATATACTGGTTCCATTTTATACATAAATATACTTGGAGAGGCTGTATAATTTATCCAAGGTCCTATACCTAGAGTAAATGAATGATCCAGAATTTAAATTCTGGTTTACTTAGATTCCAAAGCTTAGGCTTTACTAAAAAAGAATTGTAGTATAGTAGTACAGTGAGTACCTGTCTTCAGAATGAAAATCATTTTGTCTTCAGAATGCAAACAAGATGCTCAATTAAGGAAATTAAAGTTATTCTCACTATATGGTAGAAGAAATGATACTAATACTTACATAAAATATTATCACACAAAAGGGTTTTTAGATTTCCTGCCAATAAGTGAGAGAATTAAGAGTAGACTGTACAGTAACTGATTACTAGATAATGAAACCAAAGAAAGTGGGAAGGACATATTTGTGAGTGTTATTTAATAATACCAAATATCGACTATAACAAAATCCCTGAAATAATAACTTGGAGGTGAAATACCCTTAGAAGTAAATCTTACTACATGGAAACTCCTTAAAGGAAGAGGCAATATCTTCTTCAATTTTGTCTCATCTATACATGGGGACACTCCATGCACATTTGGTATATTCAGTAACATTTGGAAAAACTGAACATAGCTAAAACATGTAAGCTAAAAAGGTCTCAATCCTGAAAAAAATATATCAAAAAGTGAACGCATTAAAGTTTGTGTGCCTTATACTCCTTGGAAACACTTTACTAGTATCTTCTGTATACAGTCATGCGCTATACATAATGATGTTTTGGTCCACAAAAAACTACATAGACAATGATGGTCCCATAAGATTATAAGAAAGCCGGAGGTGTATAGTACACTATATTGTCTAGGTTTGTGTAAGTACACTTTTGTGATGTTCACAGAATGACAAAATTGCCTAAGATTGCATTTCTCAGAACGTATCCCTGTCATGAAGTGACACATGACTGTACTTGAAAGCTTGGTAGTTAGTTTCCATGCCCACAGGAATTTAGGATTATCAAGTTAAAAAGCTGGATGGAGAGTGCTATAGGTAGGCAGACAAACAGCAGCACAAAATGAAAGCTGGGAGAAAAAGAGGTGCAGATAAACTATATGGGAAGAAAAACTCCCTGACCCCCGTTCTTGGGACTAGTCATAGAAGCAATATCCTTAATTCCAACTACAGTTATTATAGTACAATATAATAAATCAAGTCATAATCACAACTCTGGGTAATCATGAAAAGATCCAATTAAATTTAATATACTCTATTTTAAGAAGACAGAAAAGCATGCAGTATATTTTTAAATGACTTTCATGCACAAAGAGGCAAATCTTAGCAAACTAAGCAAATGAGAACAATAGATTATCAACGTACTTAAAAGTTAAGGTTTTACATAAATTGCTTTACAACTAATATTGTAAAGGAAGAACGGGTATATTATAAAGTTTTTTGAAACATAATTTATACCAGACTCGGAAGACCTTTCAGTCAACAAATGAGGTCTAATACTATAATAAAAAAAGGAAGAGCACAGCATAATTAAAAATTCCTGAAAGTATAAAAGCAAAACCCCTTAACTTCTAAGTAATTATCTTCTAATGCAAAAAACATTTATTCAATAAATTATTACAAATATGTCAAAAGCAAAGGCATTACATGTGATGTAAAATTAAAGAAAAAAATTAGTTTTAACCTTGAAGAAAAACAATTAAAAATTCAGAGAGAAATGTTTAATGTAATTGGAGAGTAGAAAAATTTTAGAACAAGAGTATGATAAATAAGCACTTGTTACTTATTATTTTTTTTCATTACGCATGATTTTTATCAACCCAAACTGAGTGCTCTTTCACTTTCTGTAGCCTAAGTATTTATTAGAATGAATTATTAATGTATTATCTCTAAAGAAGAAAACATAATTAAATGTACAGTTACCTTGGCAGTATTCTGTCAGGGAGCTTGTGTGCTGGAATAGCAACAGGTAACTTTTGCATTTGTCTTGCATAATCAAAAAGCCCTGGCAAATTGTGAGAATAAAGCTGAGAAGCTTTACCTGCAGAGAAAAATAAATATGATATAAAAGCTAGTAACAAACAGTAACAAAAAGGTATTTAAAAACTAGGGAGCTGGCCTGTTAGCTTAGTTGGTTAGTGCATGGTGCTGATAAAAACCAAGATCCAGGCATTTGATCCCTGTGCCAGCCAGCTGCAAACAAAACAAAACAAAAGAAAAAAGAAAAAAACCCAAAAAACTAAAAGACTTACCAGATATTGATAGCAAGCAATTGTTCATTACATACAACCATGTACACCTTCGAGGGAAGAGCTGATAAAAAAAAAAATTCACAAAGTTTAGAAAGGATAAAATATAATAGCAATGTAAATATCTACATATTAGCCATGTAAGCTGTCCTATTTTTGCTATGGATCAAATGTATCCCCTAAAAGTTCATGTGTTGGAAACTTGTCCCCCTCTGTAACAGAGTTCAGAGGGAGGGAAATCTAGTTATAACATTTGAAAGGTGGGGCTTTTGAGAGGTGATTAGATTGTGAGGACTGTGCCCTCGTGAATGGATTAATCCATTCATGGAGCAATGAGTTATCATGGGTGTGGACTGGTGGCTTTAAAAGCAGCACATGAGAAATCTCTTGCCATTCTCTAGCCTTGTAATACCCTGGTCCCCATGAGATCATGCAGAGTTCCCACCCAGGAGAAGGTCCTCACCATATGTGCCCCCTGGATCTTGGACTTCCCAGCCTCCAAAACTATAAGAAATAAACTTCATTTTCTTATAAATTAACTGGTTTCAGGTGTTCTGTTATAAGCAACAGAAAACAGACTAATACACATATCAATAGGCCAGTTCTTTAAAAAGTTAACTTATTTTTAATAGAAATTCATTTTATAAAGCATTTAAAACAAGATGATATATATACATACACATTTATACAGGAGAAAAAAATTAATTAGCAATGTAATTTCAGCCTAAACATTATATGATTAACTCAAGTCTCCCTTATGATGAGGACTACGTAACCCCAACTTATGCAGGGAATAAGAACATTTTTCTAACAATGTCTATTCCTTTATTTTGGTTCTGGGGCCGAATAATTAAGGCTCTTCTATATAATCTCACCAAAATGTACACATGCGTGGCCTCTAGAGTGTAAGATATAGAAAAAAAAGATTGTGGAATAGTGGAATATAAATACGTAAACACTAGGTATGAAGGAAAAACATCCTGAGAGAAAAAAATGATAAAAACTTATAAATCATAAATGAGATAGCTGTGTGTGTGTGTGTGTGTGTGTGTGTGTGTGTAATTGATTACTGAAATCTAGTACCTAAGAAGTGAGAGGTGTGGAATTGATTACTGAAATCTAGTACCTAAGAAGTGAGAGGTACCTCTGGAAGCTTGAACAGGTTTGGTGTTTAGGGCAAAAAAAGGGGAATTTCATGGAACACAATCAATATACTTTGAAGGAAAAAAATAACTACTTTCATTAGAAATTTCATTATGAATATCAGTGGTTTTCAAAGCGGTCCTTGGACCAGCATCACCAATCACCTTGGCACATGTTAGAAATGCAAATTCCTGGACCTCATTCCAGACCTACTGAAGTAGAAGTCCTGAAGGTGGGCTCAGCAATCTGTTTTAACCAGACCTCCAGGTGATAATGATGCTTACTGAAGTTTGTGAGTCGCTGCTGTATATAATTAAGCATCTTGATTTTAACAACATTGGTTGCTGGGTTTGCTTTAGCAATTCCTACTAGGTTACTCCAAAACAGATTGGGATAAGAGTAGGGAATTGAGGGAATGAGAAGATGAATGATGAAACATATCAAAGCCTCTAAGGACATTATTTTATTAAAACACAAAGTCATAATGATGGCCCTGAATGACTTAGAGAGAAAAGGTAATAATAAAAGGGGGAAAAAACAAAGATTTAAATCTTTTAGTAAAATTTAAATAAACAAAAATTTAAATAGAATCTATTTGTAAATTTACTCACATAAAATAACTCACTTCTCCAAACACATAAAATGTGGCACTGCCATATAATTTTTAAAATGTGTACAATGTACCTATAGCTGCGCCTCAGACTGAGAAGATATCAACATACATTTTCTACTTTGTGCTTTTCATTAAAAAATTCAGGATTGGGAATTCACTGGCTATATTGAGAAAATTAGGCAGAGAAAGGTGCAATGATTTATTCCACACCACACAGCAGTATGTATTACCAGAGTAGTAAAAAACTGATTTTTATTTGATTCGGTGTTGAAATGGGTTTATTTTCATACACATACATCCTTAAAAAGTATTTCTTTAATACCAAATTTATGGTTTATTATAAAATTATATATTTGTAAATATAGTTGGTTTGCTTATTTAATACAGGTATATATAAAATACTAGGACACGATATAACTTCCTTTCGTATTATCGACACAGGGATAATGAAAAAGTATTTACACACAGTTTTATTTAAGTGTTGGATTTCATTTCAGATTTTCATTTTTAACTACATTTTTTTAAAACTCTAAGGCTTTCCTAGCTTTCTAATGCCTTCTTCGTTCAGCCAGTTAGGCTCTGGGTGAAACAGTCTCTTTAATAAAAGAATGTAGTAGTTAAGGGTAGGTTCTATAGTTTGCCTAGATTCATATCTGCTTTTCTCAATGACTCTGTGTGATCTTGGGTAAGTTACTTAATCCCTGTGTCTCAGTGTTCTTATCTGTAAGATAGAGCTCCAATATACCTCATAAACTTGTGTGGTAATTAAACAAGATACTCCTTGTAAAGCACTTAGAAGAGTGTCTGGCACAAATTGAGTACTCAATAAATGTTAGCTATAAATAATAAGAACAGATAAAAAATTTAAAATCAGGACCCTATTTTGTGTCATTTTCTCACCTTTCAGCATCTTCCCCTATCTAGTAGACTCATGCCACCCAGTTTATTTCCCCTAGAGTATAGAGAAAACCAACCTAATAATCAATTTCATAGAAAAATGAAAAAATTCAGGATTTCATGTATATTTATTCTCTACTCTTACAGGCTTCCTCTGGAAGGGAAAACTATTTTGCTTTGAAGGCAATGTTTAACTCAGAAAATATCACTCTAGTAGTGTAATTTCAAATGCTAAAGCAACTAAGGGAAGTTATTGTAGGCTGGGGCTGGGTGGGGTTGATGGGTGTCTTCACTTAAGAGTCTCTTAAATCAGGTTGATAAATGTTTACTTCACCTATGCATAAGGTTGGTCTTGCTCCTTAAAATTGATATTGTTATCCATAAAATTATTTTTGGATATCTCATTATATCCAAGAAGAATATTAACACCTTTGAATTATTTAGTAATTGTTATAAATAGCAAGATTCTTTTCTTCTCTTTCAGCCATTTCACTGTATACTATACATCTAGGTAAAAAGATACAGTTAGGATCTTATTACGAAATGTGATAAAAAAAAAAGTTGTGATGAGAAAAGATGGAAACGTTTGGTTATGAAGAAATTATCATTACACACAAAATTTTTTTTTTTTTTCCTTTTTTTGTCTTTTTTCGTGACCAGCAACGGATCGCAACCCTCAGTGTCGCGCCTGGACCGGGAGCGGCAACGGGATCGCAACCCTCGGTGTTGCGCCCGTACCTCGCTCAGCCAGTGAGCAGCCGGTCTGTATGTGGGATCCGAACCCTCGGCGGGAGCGCCGCTGGGCTCCCAAGCGGCGCACTGTAGCAGTGCGCCACCGGGCCAGCCCTACACACAAATTTTTATTTGTAATCAATTCATATTGATAAAGAAGAATTAGTTTCACATCCCACAGGCACCCAAAACTCAATGTGACCAAATTGAATTCAGGATCATTCCACTCAAACTGACTTCTACTCTGTACACTGCACTCTACCTAGTGGTACTGTCACGCAACCAGTCACCCAAATTGGAAACCTGAAGTTAACCTAGACCTCTCCTCAACCTCCATGTTGAATAAGTCACTCAATTTGGCCAATTCTAGCCCTTTTATTTTTAGGCAGTTGGCTGGCATAGGGATCTGAACCCTTGATCTTAGTGTTATACCACCACACTATAACCAACTGAGCTAACTGCCCAGCCCCAATTCCAGCTCTTTAATCTTTCTCCAGGCTCAGTGTTTCTTTATGGGAGCAATACAACTGGGAGAGGCAGTATGGTGAAGTAGGTTGAGGGCATGAACTCTGGAGCCTTGCCTGGGTTCACATCCCACATCACATCAGCCACTTAACAGCTGTGGGATTTTTGGCAAATTATTAATCCTTTCTGTGCCTCAGTTTTCTCATCTGTGAAATGAAAATAATAATGGTATCTACCCCTGAGAGATTTCATAAAGATTAGATATGTCAAACATTTAAAAACAGTGCCTGGCACACAGCAAGCTTTAATATCATTATTATCATTTTTATTATTATTTTTATTATTACCACTATTATCATTTTGCATGTTGTTTAGTGTTCCTGGCTTCTAGAAGCTAAATGCCAAAAGCTTCCCCCAGTCATTGTGACAATCAAAAATGTCCCCATACGATTCCAAACCCCATCTTTTCCTTTTTGTCTTCTCTACCTGTGTCCCGACTCAATACTTCTTCATTTAATTTTGACCACACTCTCTAGTCTCATCTCCCACCACAATGCAAATAGATATTTCATAAATATAGTTCTGACCACCAGCATGGTACAAAAGCTCTGGAGTTTGGTATCTGTCTACCTACCCAGCTCTACCTAGTGTTATTGTCCTACACTCCAGTCAAATTGTCCAGTCATGGTCCCCCATGCTGTTTCACAATTCCAGCTGTCATCTTATCCTCTTTCTGTGTGTCTGGCAAACTTCTATTCATTGTCATTTAAGGTCTACCTCCAATGCCCCTCCTTCTCATGCCCCGACAGGAGGTGCTTGTGACATCCACCTCTGTGACCTATACCTTGTACTCATTCCTAGTGTGACATCTAACTCTAACTCTAAGTTATTGGTTTATTTATTTATTTATTTATTTTATTTATTTATTTTTTAATTTTTTTTCGTTAAATTTTTATTTTGTCAATATACAATGTATATGATTATTATGGCCCATCACCGACACCTCCCTCCCTAAGTTATTGGTTTATTTATTTATTTATTTATTTTATTTATTTATTTTTTAATTTTTTTTCGTTAAATTTTTATTTTGTCAATATACAATGTATATGATTATTATGGCCCATCACCGACACCTCCCTCCCTAAGTTATTGGTTTATATGTCTGTTTC